GAAGAACAAAACGACAGCAACTTGTCTGTCCCCCTTCCCCCAATTCCCCAGCACTGGTCCCAACCCCCCAATTCACCAATAAAAAATCTTTAAAAAAAAAAAAATTTAAGTTAATATTTATTGAAGTATCCATAACTCAAAGTAAGAATTATTAAATATACATACACAGTTTTAAAACATTAAAAAATCCATTATAGTAATGCCCAGAAGCTTCTGAAAAGTAAGTATTTTAGATTCTACAAAAGTAAGATTGTTAAAAATCATAGAATCCTACTTACCTGGGCTTGTCTCTTTTTTCTCTTTGTCTTTCAAAATCTCGTCCTCTGTCCTTTCCGTCTCTTGGTTTTTCTTCTATCCTGTCTTTTACTTTATACTTTTCTTTGTATTTTTTCCCCAGAGCAATATCTTCCTGTACAGGAGGGGGTGGACTAGGAGTGCGAGGTCCTTTCTTTTTACTTTGGTTGCTTTTTGAATTCCTGAAGGTAACACAAAGCTATCATTAGAGGTCCAAATACTTCTGGATGGTCAAATGGCTATTTTTTTCATTTTAACAAACCACTTTTTAAAAATGATAGCATTTCTTTCAATAACATGACTTTTATTGTTTTGTGTACTAACAATCAATATCTAGAAAAAACAGAAATGAGGAAAGAAATAATATACTTGCTACTTATTTCATTAACACAACTTACTAAATAATATTAAAGGGTAGGTTTCTGAGATTGAGATGGAGTAGGAAGACTCTTTCAGGAAAGGAAATAAAATAAAACAATTGCATGAACTCATTTTTCTTTTTTTTTAGTTTATACAGAAAAGTAGATAAAGTATAAAAATCACCTATAACTCAAGGGTAGCTACTGTTAACATCTTTGATACATGTTCACACTTTTTCCATGTTTCTTTCCTTCCCTCCACCTCTCCTTCCCATCACACACAATCCTATATGTTTTGTAAATTTTTTTGTACTAAATATAGTATGGGTATCTTTCTATAAATAAATGTAGATTTAGAAATTATTATCATAGATTGTATAGAATTTCCTTGTATAGATATGCTCTATAGTTCTTTAACAAATAAGTTTCAGGTGGTTTCCATGTTTTTATCATTACAAAGAACACACAATTACATCAATAAATGAAATCCTGAGCACTGTGAGTAAACATTCACTTAAATCTTTAAGACTTGTTTAAGAAATCTTTCCCAACTCTTAGACAGTCCTTTAAATTTTTGGAATTTTGCCTTTCACATATAATCTACCTATAATTGATTTTTGGGTACATTTGGCACTTAAGATAATTTTATCTAAGTGGTATAACTTTGAGCTCTTACATATCCAAAATGATCTGTCTTTATCTCATACCTGAACGACAGTTTGACTGAATGCAGCATTTTGGTGTCAATATCCTTTTCTCTCAGAGCTCTATAAATACTGTCATCTTATAGTATTTAGTGTTGTATTATAGATGAAAAACCCAAAGAGAGTAAATTTTTTCTTAAGCAGGTTACCTAATTTTTCTGTTGGGATGTTTATTATACATTCCTTATAAATTAAAATTTTCACCAAAATAAATCAAGGCTTTCTTTTTAACCTTTTCCAGCACTCAGTAAGCTACCTCAATGTGAAGTCTCAAGTCTTTTACTCAATGTCTTCTATTTTATTCCATCAATTCTCCATATGACCCGTCTCTCTGGTTTGCTTTATTATAATTAATGCATCTCTTGAAACTCTCTGCCATGTCTTATATTTGTTATTGCCATCTCTCCTTTTGCTTCAAATTCAGTAATTTTTCTTTCAAGAAACATTCATTCTACTAATTCTAAATTTGGCAATCTCATTATTCTGCTATTTTTTGCTTAACAATTGTTTTTCTTCCAAAATATCTTTGTTCACAGATGG